ATGATATTGATCAGCAAATTGAGTTTTTAAATGACATCTCACAAAGGTGTACTTTGTACAAAGATTATTATAATAGTGTATAAGGTGTGGACACAGGTATGTTCTGTCACAGGGTGCAAATAGTGAAAAGGTGTTGGGGGGGATGGATGGAATATATGTAAAGATTACAACAGGGTGAGCTATAGGGATAATAGTTGTTGTGGAACTCCAAAAGAGACAATTTGTAATAATCAGAGGTCACGGTGGAACATTGCTTATCTTAAAAATTATTTATTATTTGTGTTAGCATAGCACTTACGAGTCCTAGTCATGGACCAGACGCCACTTTGCTAAATGTTGTACAAACACAGAGCAAAAAGATTGTCCCTGCCCCAAGATGTCTTCAGCTTGAAGAAAAAAAAAAATAGTGACGGTTTTCTACATGTGGAGCAACAAATGTTATCGATTACATCTCTACCTAACTGTATAAATGTCTGGAAAAGAATCAGAAAATCTTGCAAATTGGCCAAGCTTGCTACTAAGAAATGGATGGCTCCACTTCATGTTTTAAAAAAGTATGGAGATACTCAGAAAAGAGACCTCCTTACTCAATATATCTGTTTCCTCTGCATATTCTAAGTTAGATGTGCTCACTTCAGTGATAAAGAGTGGTTACTTACAATACAGTAAGTGTGGTTCTTCAAATGGTGGATCCTAGTCTACCTCTTGTTTTGAGAATTTGAGGAGAGGGCATTTACAACAACACTGTTCCTCTAGTCTCTTCTGACTATTAAGCCCTGCTCCAAGGACTCAAAAAAGACGCTCCATGCGTCTTAATCCTCCCCTTGCTGATAGAATATCATAGCTCCAAACTAAGACGGCCTGCAAATACTGTCAAACTTTTGTCACCATGTTATTCTTAGATAAGAAACATTCATGAAACCTTTACAGTATTTTAGCAATTAGTTCAGAAGACTTCAGCAGAAAATTTACATTCAAAGGCTGCACCTGAATGCCTAGTATTTAACATCTACAGACTACATAGGATGAGCGCAAAAGTAACAATACTTTAAAAAAAAAAAATGGTATTGGGTGACCCCAATCAGAATGCTATTAAAATGTGCAAGGTAGCTTCAAATGCTATTGCTTCAGAAGGCCAGACAAATAAAAAGAAGCCCTAGCTGAAAAGAGTGTGTGCGTAAAATAATTTCACTATTTACATAGTATGCCTTTAAAAAAAACAAAAAGCTAATTTAGTGGGTGCCGCTTGGAGTACTAACAATTTGTTTTGGTCAGTTCTGGACAGTTTTACTAGTTTTGTTTTTATTTCTATAACAGCCCATAAATAACTGGGCCAAGAATATTTCTGAAGGGCCAAATTCATGTCCCCAGCACAGAAGCTGGGTAAATGAATGTTACAAGGGGGATATACAGGAAGATGTGGGAAGAAAAGGAATCCTTCATAACCCAGAGATAGGGCATGAATCAGTTTTGTAGCCAGTTTGTGGCTGCTGCTGAAGCCTCTGAGTCACAGCACACTATGTTCCTCCTACAGAGACCACTGGCCCAGATCATTTGCATGGTTTGTCAGTCCACTGGCTACACCTTTTCCCTTTCCTCAGCCAGGAACTTGAGGTACAGATTCTCCTAGGCAATATTCTACATCCTATCCCCCTCATGAAGCAGAACTCTGGTGGATTTGCCCCTGAGAACATATTTGCATGAGACTTAGGCCTGGTCTACACTAACCCCCCAAGTCGAAGTAAGGTATGCAACTTCAGCTACGTGAATAACGTAGCTGAAGTCGACATACCTTACTTCGAACTTACCGCGGTTCAGACGCGGTCCACACGTGGCAGGCAGGCTCCCCCGTCGACTCCGCGGTACTCCTCTCGTTGAGCTGGAGTACCACAGTCGACGGCGAGCACTTCCTGGTTCGATTTATCGCGTCCAGACCAGACGCGATAAATCGAACCAGGAAGTTCGATTTCCAGCCGCCGAACTAGCGGCTAAGTATAGACCAGCCCTAAGACAGAGGTGGGCAAACTACAGCCCAGGGGCTGCATCCGGCCCTCCAGATTTTTTAATGCAGCCCTCGAGCTCCCGCTGGGAAGCAGGGTTGGGGGCTTACGCCACTCCACGTGGCTCCTGGAAGCAGTGGCATGTCCCCCCTCCGGTTCGTACGGGTAGGGGTAGCCAGGGGGCTCTGCATGCTGCCCTTGCCCCAAGTGGCGCCCCCACAGCTCCCATTGGCCTGGGAGGCACCTGCGGACAGCACCTGTGGACAGGGCAGCACACAGAGCTGCCTGGCCACGCCTCTGTGTAAGAGCCGGAGGGGGGGACATGCCGCTGCTTCTGGGAGCTGCTTGAGGTAAGCACCGCCCAGAGCCTGCACACTTGAACCCTGCCCGCACCCCAACCCTGATCCCCTTCCCACCCTCCGAATCCCTCAGTCCCAGCCCGGAGCACCCACCTGCACCCCGAACCCCTCATTCCCAGCCCCACTCTAGAGCCCACACCCCCAGCTGGAGCCCTCACCTCCTCCCACACCCCAACCCCCAATTTCATGAGCATTCATAGCCCACCATACAATTTCCATACACAGATGTGGCCCTCGGGCCAAAAAGTTTGCCCACCCCTGGGCTAGGATGTCTAAAAAACCCTTATTTATATAAACAATGGGTGTTCTTACCACTCTTCTGGTAGTTTTAATAAAGTCAGCATTACAGAAAAACAATTCAACAAAGTAATTACTCATACAAAATCTTATGTAAAACATGAATAAGCACAGTCCTACACAGACCTGTCATTTGAACAGACATCACCTCATAACTGCTTAAACAACCTCAATCTCTTCAAACTTGGAAAAAGTCATATTACTCAAACACAGCTATTTTCATGTAATTACTTCCATATTCCAAGCGAATGGAACTATTTAGACAGGTTTATGAGCTGATCTTGCTTTTGAGTGACAGACAAATGCACAGGAGGAGGGCTATATGTTTTGCCAACTACTTTTCATTGCGTTGGCATAAAAACTGCTTGATAAAGGAAATAAACAACCTCATTGTGGTAATTATACTCTATCTTATGCATACTGGAAAAAAACCTTGCCATCTTATGTATAGGAAACAGAACATCTCAAGGTTAGGGAAAGCAATAATAATTATTTAATTAATTATTGATAAAATCACTGTTATCTAGATTTGGTTCATTTTGACCAACTCTGCTTTTCTAAAATAACATTAGTGATATTTGGACACACGGCCATGAAACTTTCACTGCTTTAAAAATGTTCAGACTGTTAACTTAGACCCTGAAAAGCACACAGTTCTAAGAAGAAATATATATATTAATAAATCCCATGTTGACGATAAATAACAAATTCAAAGCTAGGCTTTCACCTTTGGGCCTATTGGGAACATTCAATATCAGCATGAGTCTAAGATGTGGTGAGTTTTTACTATGAAAGATACAGTGCATCATATAGTCATACACAATTCATATTCAAATAATCAATGTACACATCTATAGCTATTTAAATTTATTATAAATTGAAGGTAAAAGCCATACTATTTTTAGTGTAACAAATTATATACAACATTACAGAATGGTACCATACCCTAAATTATGGGGCTGTATTTTGTTTTCTTTTAATCTGCATGACAATACAGATGCTATAATGTTCTTTCTGAATTTCTCCTCATTACACCATAATGTACAATACACACCATAAAAAGTTAATATTAAAACATGGAGAAATATCTTTAAAAAAACTAGCCAGATGAATTAAAATGAGCAAATTTGCTTGCCCCTTTGTTTTAAGAACAGAAACCCGTAAAGAGCTGATATTCAAAGATCTTTCTTTTACATTTTGCAATGTAATTCTCAGAACTTTAATGGTTTAAAGGAAAAAAGGTTAGAGATCCAAATTACCCACAGCAAACATTATCACACTCTAAAAATGTAAAATATTTTAAACATATTCAGATGTTAGGCTGAAACCCTGCAGACTTTTAGATCAGACCTACAATTTCTGACAAGTACATGCCAGGACATAGGCAGACCAAATAGTTCAAATGAAGGCCAAAATGATCTACATGGTTTATTTTATTTTAGTTTGGCTGGAATAGGCTGGTCAGACTTTGGCTATGGAATACTTAGAAAAAAAAATCATTAGGATCATCTCAAAAGCAAGCTATAAACATCTGTAGGGAGTACCTCTGACACTAAAATCTCATCACTGACAAGCATGAATACCAGTCCCCCAACCACTTTTACTGGTTAACTGAAACCAAATTAAAGCTGTCATCTTTACAAGGGAGTCAGAATTTTCTCTCTAGCCAATACGTAATTTTTTGCTATGTAACATACACTATCATTAATTAGATAAAATAAACTATTACTGTTAAAATTGTCTTTGGCACATGAGACAAGTGAATCCATTTCTGTATTGATGGTCTATAGTGAAAGGGGACTCTCTAACTGATATTGTACCAATCAATTGGCACCACTCACTGGATAATGGATGGTCTATGCTTTTGTCCATATTGGTGGCATTTCTCAGAACCACTGGATTTCACCGTGCAAAATGTCAGTAAATAACACTCAAGCTAAGGTTCTCAACAGAAATAGCATAAAATAGACAGATCCTGAGCTTCAAATCAAGTGAAACAATTTTAAAAGGCAATTTCTTTAAGGATGGCAATATGCTTAATGGAATAATTAATATTTTTCAAAAGAAAACAAAAAATTGAACATCATATTACAGTATGAATGGAAAGGAGATTTAACACTGTGGTACTGAATAGATGTACTTGGCCAGAGCAACATGGATCTTGGCTTGTTATCTTTTCAACTCTAAAGGTCTCAGAACTCTATGGACAGGTAACACTTGTTAAATCTACTACAGTGCATTGCCCCCGATCAAACTCTGTTTTGTTTCCCCACCATCACAATCAATGCTGTTTTAAAATAACCAAGGAGGAATGGGAAAGGAGGCCAAAAGAAGCATAAAATACCTGTAAAGTACAGTTCATCATCCGCACTATGTAATCAAACTGCTGGTGGTCCAGTATTGCCCGATTTTGCTGAACATGCAGGCTTAGCTCCTGTGTGAGGCACTGTCGAGCTGCCTTTCCTTTTAGTGCCCTCAACGCAGCGGGCAGAGTCTGCAGAGACGAAATCCTAACCTCATTAAAATGAACTGAAATGTCACTGAAATACTGGCTGTCTTTAATTCTTTGTCAAGACACTTCAAATAAGAACAGTAAATTAAAAGTCCAAATGAATCCAGAGCCAGAACATCAAATTCTCATGATAACTGATTTTTTGCTAAACAAGGCATTGACTTTCAAGCTCTGATTGCTCTTTTTAGATACACCATTAATAAACTGCAGAAATTTTCTGCTAAATCTCGAAGTGGGGAAAAATGAATACAGATAAGTAACAAAATGAATATGAAATCAGTCAGAAGATTATTGTGCATGAGAGTGAGGGCTCTCTGTCACTCTGGTAGAGACAGAACATATGACGGGCTAGGTTCTGAGAATCTGTCCTGATATATAGTGAATTATAAAGTGTTTCAGCATGAAATTGGGATGGACACATTATTCACAAGCAGTGGAGCCACTTGTATGTTATGCAGATCATCCCAAACAAGTGCCAATAAAATCTTTATACCATGCCATGATTTATTCTAAATAAACTACATATTTTATGGAAAAACTATTTTAAATATACTTGGAAAAATTATTACGAATTTTATTGGGATTCTTTCATACCCCTCCACTACTAAAGCCAAGTGACTTAGTACATGAACTCATCTATACAGGTCTCCATGGAGAGCAAATTTATAGCTAAATTTTAGAAATCTCTACAAATTTCCTAAAATAACTTTTCCAGACATAATATCTAGAATTCACTTCTAATATATGTCATTTTACAGCCTTGATGAGTTCTGACATAATTAAACTACGTTCCTATTTCAGGATTGAATACTGTCTGGCATGAACCACAGATCTGTGAAATCTAAAAGGCAACTTCCTCCAAATCTAATGAGTGGGGGAGAAATAACATTTCTGGATCAACTTTTCCCCCTCCCTTTAAATGCAGACACTAGAAGTTGCTCAGAGGTTTTGAGTGTTGGAAATAGTCTCAAAAGAGGTGGATTTGTGGGCACAAGGCAGGTGAGACAAAGACACTTAAGAATTCATTTTATCACATGGATTTCACCACTATATATGTGATATATGTACAAAACTGGGGAAAAAAATAGTAGAATTAAAGCTCTAATTTGTTTTCTGAATCAAGTTGACAGTCCACTTGGTTTTCTGTCCTGAGCTTTTTGTTGTAAAAAAAATAAAATAAATGATATGCTGTTGAATTAATAGTTGTAAAATTCAATAGACGGAATCCACAAAAGCTGGCCATATCTGAAAGTAATAAAACTATCAAGGACAACAATTGTGGCAAGTTACTAGTGGATTTTACTAAAAATGAGTCAGTCAAATAGTTAAGCACTGTCTTGTGTTCTATACATTGCACTAAATTCTGTTATCACTTTTAAAACAGACAAGAATTAACTTAGTTGAAAAGTTCAATAGAGCACCTGTTGGCAAACAATGAGATTAAATGACTATGCCTATATTTTGTTTACATTCCTCACAACTGGAACAATTAGGCTGAAACTCTCAATTATCTTTTTTGTAAACCCATATGGAAAATAATATGTGATGAATAATCTCTGGATGGTTAGCCAAAAATTGAATGATCATACTGAACATTAAAAACAGGTCTTCAGAGGGAGCAATTGCGCACTACCATATGGTACTGTATTTAGACCATTTGGTGGTTATACTGCTTACCATATCACTCATTTAAATGACTGAACAGATAATGAACATTAAAAAACACAACAAGAAATGTGACAGGGTTTGTGAGGAGGTCACTCAGTCACTTACCATGTGCTAGTTTAACTTGGAGGCAGTAAATGCTTATTTAGGAGAGTTAACTTTATTATTATTATTACCTTTTCAGTCTCCAAATTTTTATTTTCAAATATGAATGAGATGCAGTTTCTAACAACTTCCAGCCTCTGTGCACTGTTGAAAACTGTACTGGCCTTTTCCATTATGGAAACTAACAAAAAAAGAGTACACACAGATGTGAAACAGTTTCTCTGTAAAAGCCACAAATAGTAATTAGACAGTACTTTTAGAAAAATCCTAACATGGCTTCAAGTCTAAATTTTATTTTGCTAAGTTGTTTGTCATTATTAGGCTTATATGAGAAGGAATTTACAAACTGTTAAGTAGCCTTTAAAAACAAGTTCTTGCTCAGTCTTGCTTTTCTTCAGTTACCCTTATGCAGGACAGCCTGCCGCTGGCTTGCTGGTGGTCATGCTCTGAATTTTAAGTGGAGTATTTATTTGCTTGTTTTGGTTGTCTGTTTCATATAGACAACCAGACTCCAACCTGTAAAACTAAATTAATGGTATTAACGTACTAATTGAGTCTGGATTTCAAGATCACGATCTTAACCAATATGGCATGAAAAAAGTGAATTCTATGACCCTGTCATTTATTTTCATCTTACTGTACAGGGTGTGACAAAGTTCCTCCTCTATCTTGGTGGGTCCTGTGCTTATTGGCGGATTTTCTTGCCTCAGAGATTCACCATGTGGGTTGGGGAACAGCCCAGAGACCTTCCCCTCTGGAAGAACCCACAGTCCAGGTCAATTGGGAGGTTTGGGGGGAACCTGGGCCCGCCCTCTACTCCGGGTTCCAGCCCAGGGCCCTGTGGACTGCAGCTGTCTATAGTGCCTCCTGTAACAGCTGCATGACAGCTACAACTCCCTGGGCTACTTCTCCATGGCCTCCTCCAAACACCTTCCTTATTCTCACCACAGGACCTTCCTCCCGGTGTCTGATAACACTTGTGCTCCTCGGTCCTCCAGCACACACCCTCTCACTCTCAGCTCCTTGCACCTCTTGCTCCCAGCTCCTCACACTCACACCACAAACTGAAGTGAGCTCCTTTTTAAAGCCCAGGTGCCCTGATTAGCCTGCCTTAATTGATTCTAGCAGCTTCTTCTTAATTGACTCCAGGTGTCCTAATTAGCCTGCCTGCCTTAACTGGTTCTAGCAGGTTCCCGATTACTCTAATGCAGCCCCTGCTCTGGTCACTCAGGGAACAGAAAACTACTCATCCAGTGACCAGTATATTTGCCCTCTACCAGACTCCTGTACCCCACTGGTCTGGGTCTGTCACAAGGGATGGAAATCACAGTTACATGAGCACAACAGTATTTCTTTTTTTAAAATTTCTTCCCTTCCTGGCTCCTCGTCTTAATCTCTCTTCTTTGGTTTGTCCACATACACAGATTCATGTTGGAGTTGCTACCAGGCCAGTTGATAATGAATTAGTGTAGAACCTTTCTTCGGCTCCATCTCACAATGCTAACCATACTTTTTTTTTTACACTCACCAAACTCAATATTACAGAAACACTTCAAATTTCTGTTTGTAATTTCACTTTCCTAAAGTTATACTCTCTCTCTCTGACAACCTCTTTGTTATGCATGCTTTGCATCTTTGTTTTGCCTTGCTGCAAAAGCGTACAACCATATCGGTTATCTTTCCTAAGTTTTAAATCCAACAAACTGCAGTGGCTAATTAAAATAGGTCTTATTTTTTAGCTGGTTGTAGGTTAAACAACTGCATATTTGCCTGGTTTTTAAAGAAACAAAACACAAAGCATTTATTAAATAAATTGATAGTTCACTATCCATTACTTCTGTTATCATGTACACCGAAACAAGTGTAAAGCAGACACTCAAGTCTTGCATGCAACCTGATGTATCTCATTCTTCTACTAAAACAAAGGGGGTAATTCATCATTTTCACATGAGGATTCTTACACTCAAAAATGTGCAAATAAATGAACCATGACAAATTTCAGGTAGCCAGATTTTTCTGTTGACAGTCCAATGAACATTGTGTATATTGTGCTAAGAACCATCCTTTTTGATAACCTAATTAAATAATACATGGTTCCTTAAAGTAGAGGAACCTAGAGCTGCTTCAAAGAATTTACAAAACTGGATCCTCCATAATAAAAATCCTCAGAAGAATCAAGCATTTAAATGATCTTCTGACTTGAAAAGCAAGTTTACAACCCAGTTCTCCTATCTAGAATTTGCTGAATTCTAGAGATTATTTGATAGAAGATCTAGCATTCTCTTGCTCTTGCTCTCCCTCTCCCCCTCCACCTTCCCCCCATCAAAAATAGAATGCCATGTATGTGAGAGCAGAATATGCCTTCCCCTCCCCCCACACACATAGGAGCTCCTATGTGTGCTGACATAGCCAACATGAGGAAGGGGAATTAATATTAAAAAGGTGTGCACTGGAAAATCTACAGTTCAATCAGATAAAGGCAAGTTCCTCATTTCTTTGGGAAACTTTCTACCTGCATTTGTTCTGAGAAAGTTTATAATACCTAGCTCTTATTAAAAAAGGTATTGAAATGGCACATTGATCTTACATTAATTCTGAAACCAACCCACTACATAAGTGCTGAATTGGGAACAACAAATTTGATATATTAATGATATGTTCAATTCATTACGATAGGAATTCCCTTCTTGCCTTCCCTCATCTCTCAGTAAAACACCCCATTAAAACACATTTTAATTAAAGTAGATGTTTTCACTCATGCTAATATGGATTTATAAATATACGGCAGATAACAATGCAACATACCAACAGGCGGACCAGCAGGAACTACACACTTTTTTTCTACCCGAGTAGCAGGTGGTGCACTTTGGTTCTTAGCCAGGCCTTCTTGAATTAGCTCCTGAACCTGGCTGTCATTAATTTTGGGGAAAGGAAGGATATGAACTCGTAAATGGGATCCCTCCGTGGGCCGTGGAACTTTCTGGAATGCCATGTGAGGATTTGGATTCTCCTACAACCAAAAAACATAACATCTTACACTAAAATAGTTATTTTATATTAACACTTCATATAGAAGCAGCACAATATCTTGGAACACAGACAAATAAAGAGTAATCACTGAGTTGTCACACAATAGGTGAAGTTGGCAGGTGCTCCCCGCTACTGAAAAAGGCCTTAGTCTTTGTAACAGCACCAGAACATTTTAGCATTACAATAATCTTTGCACAAGCACAAAAAATTCTTCTACCTTTTGCAGGCATTGAATATTTGGCTTGTTGAAAAAGCGTAAAGCCCAATTTCATGGACAATTTGTGTGCCCCTTATGCTTAAAGAACAAAAACTCTACATACTCAAAATGTTATGTTCCAAATTCTCATCAATCCAATCCCCTTAACTGTAACTTTATCAACTTCACTTTTATGATTTTAAAGGATTTTATGAACTGTTTAATTCCTGGGTAAGCTCACATGATGTTGAAATGACAGAGAAATGTCACAGTATGCTCCTCAGCCACACAATTTACAAAATGAGTTTTGTTGGCATTCAAAGCAACTCAGAGGAGAAAGGGAGAAAATGGAAATGATTGCTTAAATTAAGCCAGATAAACTTAACTTAGTGCACAACTGACACTTAGCTGGTAGGTAACCCAAACAGCCAACCCTTTCACTATTGGAAAGGTTAGAGGAGTGGTGTGATACACAGTCATTTCACTATGTTGAGTAGCTGAAATACATAAATGTCTCCAGGCACACAGACACCATAATAATGAACACAAAATAAGAATTTAATAGAGTAATTTCTTAGTCATAGAGTAAGAATGCACAAAACCTTGTTCTATCTGTATTAATTACAAGATACATAATTTTTGGAAGGAATTCAATTAAAATTTCACCCTCGGTATAAGTTTCAGGTTTCCTCTGCTCTCTTGCAGCACAACAGAGCAGTGATAGCATATTGAATCTTTCTGGAAATCCAAGGGATTTTCTGTTTGTCCAATCAAGTCTACATCATTATAGCAAGGGCAAATGAAAGTGTTAAGTGATCTTCTGCATGACTGGTTACGTATATGTTGTCTATAACGTATTTCTCTCCTCTGAGCAAGGTAAGAACTAGTGTGTTCCTTGCACATTCACTGAAATTTGTAGAATAGTGTCTGCGGCAGACAATATATAAATTAGAGAGTTAGAAAGGGGAGTGCTTTAGGAACATCAATATGAGGACTTTGATGAGAGAGTTCTTTTGGTCTATGGTACAAAACTATCTGGTTTCTGTCCATTATGTTGCAGAGACTGGATTTTCCTTGCTTCTTTCATGCCCAGATCTAGCATAGTTTCTCTACACAGTCAGGAGAAGGAGTATTTCAAGACCTCAGTATATAAATATAAAATTTACAAAGTGAAAATGCAGTTTTGTGTACCACACTTTACCAGGTTTCCATCAGTGGGCATGTCTCTGTAGCTACTAAACTCCTCCTGAAGAGAAGCTCAATATGGCTCTATAGCTCACTGTATGCACTAGACACAACTTGGAGGATATGGACAAAAATCAACTAGAAGAAGAAAAGAAGGGCCAAAACCACAACAGCAAAACAGATATGTAACAGGGAGTTGGGACATAGGGTCTTTGAATCAGAGAAATGGAAAAGTTCAGAGGTCATCTTGTATGCAGTGTAGTTGTGGCCATATGGGTCGCAAGATATTAGAGACACAAGGTGGGTGAGGTAATATCTTTTATTGGACCAATTTGGACAATCTTGTCCAGGGCCGCCCGGGGGGGGGGGCAAGTGGGGCAATTTGCCCCAGGCCCCGAGCCCCACAGGGGCCCCGCGAGCCCTGGCCCGGCGGCAGTCCGGGTCTTCGGCAGCATTTCGGTGGTGGGGGGTCCTTCAGTCCTGCTGAAGACGCGGAGCGACTGAAGGGCCCCCCGCCGCCGAAATCCTGGACCGCCGCCGGGTGAGTACAAGAGCCGCAGCTCCGCCGCTTTGCCCCAGGCCCTCTGAATCTTCTGGGTGGCCCTGATCTTGTCTCTCTCACCAACAGAAGTTGGTCCAATAAAAGAGATTATCTCACCCACCATGTCTCTCTACAAGTCATCTTGTCTATTCAATGGAAATTAATGTAGTATGGTTCCCTAAAGAATATTCTCCAAGGTTTTTGCTTTTTTCAGTTTTAAATAACCTAAGAGATTAGGACTTCCATTATTCCTTTTGGAAGGCTATTTCACAGTGTAACAGATATTACCATTAACAAATATTTTGTGATATTCACCCTAAATTTTCCTTTCCTCATATTTTTACATTATTCTTATAGTTACTTATTTAACCATTTTTGTTTATAAAAGTGCCTAAAGTTTCTGAGCATTGTACAAAGTGTTAAGAAGACATCTGTACTGCTGCAAAACTATGGGTTTCCGATCACTAAAATCAACCTTAATTAAGCAAAAGCATGGAAGAAGAGAGAGAGAGAGGCCTTACACCATGCCTTAAAAATGTACAGATCCTGGATCTGATGGGGGAAAAACCAAATTCTACATACTAAGAATGTCCTGGGGAGAGAGACTATCTTCCTTATGCCTCCAATATAGATATGGCAAAGAACCTTAAAATCCCTCTAGGCTGAAATCAGACTTGGTGTGTGATTTTCACCACTGGAGTCTCACCTTCATCCCAGATAGTTCATCTTTTGCAGATAATTTGAATATAAAAATAATCTTTGAGGATGAGATATAGGGAGCGAACGCTGAGGATACTGATAGGCATGGCCATCAGCAGTAGCGTATTTACCCTTAGAAAACTAGATAGTACTATCAGGTCATTCAATCTTCCTGAGTAGACCAGTAAAATAAGTCTTCTGACATGATGGGGGCAAAAGTAAGTTTTAATGTCAAACAGAAGGAGGTGACTGGACCATATCAGGACAGTTTTGAACCTTCTAAAAACTCAGTTCAAAACCAATATCTAAAGAATATTCCACCTATATGGATAGAGCCCCAATCCAGATGAGAAAGGCTAATATCAGATGTATGATCTTGAGACAGCCCAGTATAGCTATTGTCTGCATGGATGCTGAAATCATTTAAGACAGTAAGCTGGGGTAGGTCCATGAAACTAAGTGAAACAAAAGCTCTGCAGTACAACACGGTGACCTTGACCACCTCCTCTGCACCTCACTAACCAATTACTCTCTGAGCCTTGGTATTTACAAATACCAGTAAATGTCTACCACATAATCTATAAGGAAAGCTTAAAATAACTAGGTGTGAGAAAAGAAGACTATAGGGGGACAGCCTTCAAATGTGTTAAGGACTGTTATAAAGAGGGCAGTGATCAATTACTCTTCAAGACCACTGAAGGTAGGACAATCTGCAGATTTAGGTTAGATATTAGGAAAAGCTTTCTAACTATAAGAATAGTTAAGTTCTGGAATAGGGTTACACCAAGGGAGGTTATGGAATCCCCATCGCTACAGGTTTTTAAGAACAGGTTGGACAAACAATTGTCAGGGATGGACTAGGTATACTTGGTCCTGCATAAGCATGTAGGGATGGACTAAATGACCTCTCAAGGTTGCTTCCAGCCCTACATTTCTAGGATTGTATATGCCTCATGCCTTAGTGGTCACCAAGTCAAGGTCCTAGAAAAGACATCATGTGTCAACTCCTTTTAAAACAAGAGGATAAAGAGTACCAAGACCAATGACAGCCCTTCAACCAATGGACTGTGATGAAATTAAAATTATTTTAAAGCATAAGCTATAAAGTAATCAATTTAATTAGAAAAAACATGCTTCAAAACAATATTATTTCAAAATTGTATTAGAGCTTTTTATGGAACATTGCAACTTTAAAAAAAACGTCTACAGTTCTCAATCCTAAAAACCTTTTAAGTTTTTCCCACCCTTGATCTGAAATGCTTTGATCTAAGAATTATTTGTCAAGCAAAACTAGTTTAAAGTATAACAAATTCATCCTCTCCATCTGAAGAAAACAGAAATTGGCCTAATCTTCCAAACATTAATTTGGATACTATGCAAGGTCCTTAAAGCAGCTCAGCTGAAGAAACATTGGGGCTCAAGTGATTTTATTTTTATACAAAAGGTATCTAAATCGTCCCTCAGTCTGATAAGCAATACTTGCAGGGATGGTAATATGATATTAAGAAAAATTTGGTGAAACTGAGATTTGCAACCCTGGCTCAATGCAAATGTTAATATATTTGTATTAATAGTTTTTGCCTGGGTAAAAAGCCTTGTGCCAATATAGATGCATTTAGACTGATCTGGAGCATTATGCATAGCTGCAAAGATTTCTGAATATACTCAATCCCTGAAAAGAATTTTAAATTATTCAGGAACGCTGGACTCAGAAAAGATAGTTAAAGACATGACAATTCACATCCATTCATATTTCATTCACCATTCTGTGTTCTTTATTACTTACTTTTTAGTCCAAAAAACCCATTTGCCCCCCCACCACAAATTGCAAGTTAGAGATCCTTTCTAAGTAAAAAAGAAAAAACTGTGCAACATTATGTTCAGAGCAGGGCAGGACATTGATTTATCTGTTCTATTAGGCCTGGTCTACACTAACACCCCAATTCGATCTAAGGTACGCAACTTCAGCTACGTGAATAACGTAGCTGAAGTCGACATACCTTAGTTCGAATTTACCGCGGTTCAGACGCGGTCCACACGCGGCAGGCAGGCTCCCCCGTCGACTCCGCGGTACTCCTCTCGCTGAGGTGGAGTACCGCAGTCGACGGCGAGCACTTCCTGGTTCGACTTATCGCATCCAGACCAGACGCGATAAATCGAACCCGGAAGTTCGATTGCCAGCCGTCGAACTACCGCAGTAGTGTAGACCTAGCCTTAGAATGATCTCTACATTAGCTGCTACGTAATCAGTATGAGGCTGGCCTCAGTCTCAACACTTATGTGCTGTGCTGCAACGGAATCACGTAATAGGCTTCTATAACTGTCGTGTCTACTCAGGATATCTGGTTGGTTTGCTGTG